AGGGGGAGGGCAGGCTCCCAGGAGGAAGAGCCATAATTTGCTGGTTTTGTATTTTAAATTATCAGCTTTGTTTCTCAGTATTTATTCATACACAAGAACATCAAATAATTCTCCCTTTAAAATTTCAATATACTGGCCAAGTTAAATTTTACTTTCCTCCACTTAAGTACAGCAGTAAAAAAAGGCCAAGACTCTGAGGTAATACCACAGCCTAAGATAATCACAAAAACAAATTTTAAGAATATATATAATTAGTCTTATGGTTAATCCTGGCATAAGATTAAAACATGATGATCAGACATTATTTTTTTAATCAGTGTTACAATAAGGAAGTATGATACCAAGGTCATCCAAAGTCACTTTGCTCCTAGATACTCTGTCAACCCTGTCAGAGTCCAGGCAGGCCCACATTTCCCAAGTTGAATCCAATTAGTGTTTTCTTAATTATTATCTATACACATTTACACTTACATAAGCTAGACTAAAGTGTTGTGTGTTCTATTTCAGAACAATATTTTCATCAGCTTACCTCAGACTTTCATTTCTTTCTGGGCAGGTCAGTTTGGAAAATTTAATGAGGTAGTCGAGTTCTTTTAAAGGCAAATACACTGCACCATTCAAGCCCTCCTTCAGGTCCCTCTGCACATGCTCCTGTGTCAAGTTCTGTAATACGTACTGAACTTGGAGGATGGTGCAAAGCTTTTTCTTCTCCGCCTCAAGTTTCAGCATGTGCTCCCTTCTCTGGGCCTTCTTCTGAGCTTTAAGTAGCTGTTAAAACAAATGCTCATTAAAGCTGACAACTCTCCACCACTGCGTAGGAGCAACTGTCACCTAAGTAAGTCTAATCCCAAAGAGCTGAGAAGATAAATCTCATATACAGGGTGGGAAAAAGTAGGTTTGCAGCTGTGAGCACCCAGAACACACAGTTTATCCTTGTGTTATTATTTAGTAATTATTGTATCATTACAATGTAATATTTGTATTACAACTGTAAACCTACGCCTGCCCACTTCTGTGTGTAACACTGACTGTAAAACTGATACATTCATTTCACCCTGCTTCCTTCTTCAACTAAAGAAATCACTAAGTAATAAGCTGGTTTGTCTCAGGTGGCCAGAGCCCAGAGAGTCCAAATACCTGACTCCCAACTCCAGGCCGTATCTAGTACCTCTAATATCGCCACGGTGAGAAGCAAAGCACCTACCATTGATGTCCATGTTAATCCTAAGGTTTTACTTTTCCATATTTATGTATTTCAAGCCTTTTTAGAGCAAATATTTTAAGAAAAATGCTTCACTCTGTTTTGGGGGTTTTTTAATCTTGTATCCCAGAAGAGGGAATATTTAAACTATAATGGTCAGTTTTCAACCAACCAAAGACGACTGGCTAAAGCACAAGGAACTAAAAACCAAAGAGAAATGTCTTACAAATGTAATGCCAAAAAACAGCCACAGCAAACAGGTTTGTTTTAAAAGTAAAGTTAAGAGATATTTTCATAATTGTGTGTCAATCCGAGTGGAGCTGTATCTTCCAATATTTAGCGGGCAAAACACATATGGAAAATTAGTGTCTACTCTAAAGCTCAGAACTGTACCACCTTAAAGTCTGACACGACCCGTGGGTCCCAAAAGTGGCTTCCCATTCTTTCAAAAAGCCAATAAAAAGTACTATCTATTTCCACTAAGAAACCTAAAAGTTCTTTTCTTCCCATAGTTGTTTTCCTGATGATAATGTTTCCTTCATATTGAATATTTCCCAAGGTAAAAAGACTAGGAGACCAAAACAAAAAAAATCAACGATTTTTCCTGTGGGTGGGTTACACTGCTTTGATACAACATCAGTATTTAAAACTCTACAAGAGAGTTACGTATGTTCATGAACCCTAACGAAGATTGAGGGGGAACCTCAGGAAAAAGATTCCTTGTGGAATTATTAATTCCTTTCTAGAGGGTATGAAAGCAACTTAATAAATTTGACTCGTGCTACTATCAGGGACAAGAGATAAAACTTTGAGAATGAGGAACAGGCTGGTTGGGGGTAATGTGGGGAAGGTATTTTCTTCAGGATGGCAAAGCCTCAGAAAACCTTTTCCAAGACTTCAATACGGACTTACAGCAATGACACTGAACCAAAACTACTACAGGATTCTCAGTTCCTGCTTGAGAGGAGGAAAACGTATAGAGATGGCAAGTCCAGCTACCCAAGGAGTGGGACCCTCTCGACACAGTCTCCTGATGGCAAAGGGAAAGGCGCCGATGCTGCGGGCACCTTCAGGACTGGGTCACGATCACCTCGGCTCTCTCGTTAGGTGAGATTAGGTGTTCTTATGGGCTCCTGCCACCCTGGACTTCCCCATCAGAGTATCTATTACATTAAATGGTTATCTTTTTATTTCTCTGCACCCCTCCCCTTGGGCTTCAACTCCATGATGTTCACCAACATTATCACCGGTGCCCAGCACATGCCGGGACTTCATACATTTGCTGAATCAATCGAGTACCATGTAAAAAAGCATGTTGCTTTTCAGAGAGAATATAAGAGAGAGAGAGAGAGAAACATTGATGTGGAAAGACACATAGATTGGCTGCCTCCCACGCACGCCCCGACCCGTGCAGGGATGGAGCCTGCAACCAAGGTACGGGCCCTTGGCCGGAATCGAACCTGGGACCCTTCAGTCCTCGGGCCGACGCTCTAACCACGGAGCCAAACTGGCCAGGGCGGGACTGTCTTATGAGGCACCCTGCCCAACCCAGAAATTTACAGAAAAATTTTAATAGTTAGAAAATGACCTTTCTAACTAAGTTTCTAAAACAGTGAAGAATCCTTCATCAATGAATGCTTAAGACATGACATTAATTACCGATTCAATCTGTCAGAGATAAAAGTCTGAATTGCCAACACAGAGAACCTAACAAGTGAGACCAGACTAACTCTAACATGAATCATAAGTTTTCCTGGTAATAACTGCCACAGTCTCAAGAAGAGTCTATGTTTCCTAATACACTAAATAATGCTAAACTTAGAAGCCTACATAGTATATAAATTTACAGGCCTATATCCTAAAATATCTTTAATAAATGTATCCATAAAAACAGCTTTTATTCCTTTCTCAGTGTGAGGTAACTAATACTTTATTCACAATGCCTCATATTCAGATGTCATCTATGTTTTCTCGAGGCTCGGGAAATCTGAAAACACTAGTTCTGGAGTAGCTCTCCTCAACCCCCGGCCACAGGAAAATGTCAACAGGGATTGGATGGTAACCCGAGACCATCATTAGATACTGACATTTTCTTCAAGGTCAGTGGTGGAACAGGATTTAGGAAAAGCATGGAAAACATACTCACATCTTGGCTCAGTCCTGAAAAGGTTTTCTGAAGCTCCTTGGCGAATTCTAAGTTATGTAACACTTCTTCATACTTCTCCACTGCTTCCTGCCAAATACGAGAAGAGCACACCAATTCTGTGAACGTCTAAGCATAAATGTCAAAATAAGCGTTCCCTAAAAACATGAGAGATTTAAGACATTATGAACTAGCCATTTACAACATTTAATCAAAAAAGTAGAAAGAGTATTTAGGTGTTATATAAACTTAAATTTAAAAATTCAAATTTTATGTTATCATCATAACAATAATGATAATAACAGGGCTGAGTCCCCATCTATAAAGGCTAAGGTCAGAGAAACCTATGGGTTTTAAGAGCACTGAGCCAATAGGACTTCTGTCAATATTCATTTACTACTCAAATATATTACACAAGTAACAAAATGCGGGTAACACAGTTAATAAGCAACTTCAAGAAATTTATACTATGGTAGAAGAGATTTGCAAACAATTACCTATAACAAACAAAATTAAGCAAGATTGTAAAAGAAATATTGTAAATTTAAAGGGGCTTTTTTTGTTGTTTTTTAAGATTTCACAGATGTCCCGGCCGGGCGTGGCTCAGCGGTTGAGCATCGACCTAGGATCCAGGGGATCGAGGTTCGATTCCCGGTCAGGGCACATGCCCGGGTTGCGGGCTCGATTCCCAGTTGGGAGTGTGCAAGAGGCAGCCGATCAATGACTCTCATCATTGATGTTTCTATCTCTCTCTCTTTCCCTCTCCCTTCCTCTCTCTGAAATCAATAGAGATATATTTAAAAAAAAAAAAAAAAAAGACATGTATGCAAACTTATATAGCAGCATTATTCATCATAGCCCAAAATAAAAAAATCCAAATATCTAGCAACTGGTAAATGGATAAACCACACAAAGAAATAATCCTCAGCAATCAAGAGAAATGAATTACTGATACATACTCTAACATGGATGAACCTCGAAAACATAATGCCAAGTCAAGAAAGCCAGATGGGAAAGAAATACCCAGAAAAGATAAAATTTATAGAGATAGAAAATAAGGGCACAAAAGGGATGGTGGGGTTATAAAAATGTTCTAAAACTGGATTATCCTAACAGTTGCATAACTCTACAAATTTACAACAACCCATTGAATTCTATAGTCACAATGGGTTAATTTTCTAAAAGTCTGAAAATACTAAGTCTTTACAAAGATATAGAGCAACAGGAACTCCTAAGTACTAACAGTATTAGACTAAACTGGTACAATAATTTTGGAAGACAGTTTGACATTTTTAACTATGAGGTTCACTATAAGTATGTGCCCTGAAAAAATCCTGTACCTCTGTCTCAATAACACATGTAAGATTGACCAGCCCTGGCCGGTCTGGGTCAGTGGTTAGAGTGTCAGCCCACAGACTGAAGGGTCCCGGGTTCGATTCTGGCCAAGGGCATGTTCCTCTGCTGCAGGCTCGATCCCCGGCCCCGATCGGGGCTCCCTGGGAGGCAGCCAATCCATCCGTCTTTCTCACATCAGTGTTTCTCTCCCACCCCACCCATCGCTCTGTAATGCTCTCTTTCCCATTCTCTCTGAAAAACAATGGAAAAAAATACCTTTGGGTGAGGATTTAAATAAATAAATGAATAAATAATAAAAAGATTGATCGAAGTAGAATACCAAAACATAATAGCAAGCAACTCAAACATTCATATAGTCACAGACTACTACTGAGTAGAGAAAAGCAAATGATATATAGCTACTTGCATCAATATAAAAACCTTAAACACAAGTGAAAAGGCAAACTGCAAAATATATAATGATAGCATTTATTATAAGGTACCAAAAAAAGGAATTTGAACAGATTTAAGGGCAACACACAAGTGCTTCTAAAATAAAAGCAGAGGAGGAGGGGAGAAAAAGTTCAGGGTCAGGTTACAGGAGAAAGTCCTGGGCAGAAACTTCAACGGTGTTGGTTATGTACTATTTGAGTTGAGTGGCAGGTTTGGGGGTTTTTTTTAAATATGTTTTTATTGATTTCAGAGAGAGGAAGGGAGAGGGAGAGAGAGAGAAACATCAGTGATGAGTCACTGATCGGCTGCCTCCTGCACGCCCCCTACTGGGGATCGAGCCTGAAACCCGAGCTTGTGCCCTGACCAGTATTTGAACCCTGACCTCCTGGTTCATGGGTCGACACTCAACCACTGAGCCACACAAGCCGGGCGAGTGGTAGATTCTGATGCTTGCCTCACTATGCATTATAATTCACATGCAACATTTTGTTTGGAACATATATTTCATAATAAAAAGAGGGGTCTTCCAACTACAGAACCAAGAATGCACAGGTAACACCATAGTAGGGTAAATCCTTAAGATTATCAACAGGTTCTTGGAAACTGTGACTTTAAGTGAAATGACAAATAATGAAGCCAAGTTTAGCAAAGGCCAATTGCTATAAACAAGTGTTAAGTTCTTACGGCTTATTTCTGATCACAAAAACATCAAACTTCTAAATAAAAACCCCAAACACTTTTAATATGAAACACTGAAATAAATGG